TCGAAGGTCTAAAGTACCCACATTCATATGTGATACATTATCATTAACATGTTCGACGTCGTCACTAACATTACCAATTTAATATAATCGAATAGTCGAAAGAAAATATTGATCGACATTAATTGTGCTAATAAGCATCAACTGAAAAATTAAACGATTCAGAGACATCATGTATATGGTTATTTTTACACATTGATTATTGCAGTAGAAATAGATATTCGTGATAAGACATAGAATAACGCTAATAATTGGTGGATTAAAATTTGAAGGTAAATTTTTTATTTCCCTTCTGAATTTACTACTTGAAACGCGTTGGATTTCACGGGATAAAATAATTGAAAATAAAGAAAAAAGCCTCTGAATACTATTATGTAAATGCATACCGTGACGCGTGTGGTGGTCGTTGGTTCACGGGCTTTTTCAGAAGTACAATTTTAATTAAACGAGCAGCAGCGCTGGAATAAAGTAGAAAAATAAAGAGAAGCGAAGGAACGTTGCTAGGATACATACGTAGCCCGTATTATCGTGACACTGAAATTTCTTCCAAGTCTTTAAATTAGAATTACGATAATGCGATACAATTAACGCGTTAACTGCAACAGTGATAATGACCGTATGCAGCGAGACGATCTAATCTAGAAATTTTCTATTTTCCTATAAATGATTTTAGAAGGAGAGCATCGTGACGCCAACGCGTCCAAGGGGAACAAAGTTGACAAAAAAAAAAAAAAAAGAAAAAAAATCCAGTAGACGGTCATTACTCGCCGCGACATGGTTTTTTTATCGACGATATCGTTACCGCGCCGGATAATTGGACGCCATTTCAAGTTTCCCGGGCTCTTTCTCTCACCTTCACCGTCGCCGTCGCTCGCGGCCGAACCGTCTCGTCGCCGCTGCGTAACATGAAATTAAATCGGGTCAATTAAGGCCGCGTATTAATTTTACTCATTAATTACCGGCTCACGGGTACGTCGATTATTTATTCGTAAATGAAATTTAATTGCCGACCATGCGATCCGCTCTCGACTTGCACGACCAAATAAATCAACGATTATCCGATCGGAATAAGTAATCGAAAAGAAAGGAGCAGGGATAAAAAGCGACAAGATTTTCATCGAAATCAGTGCCAAAGGGGATCGAGAATAATTACCAAAAAAAAGTTCAAAGGGAACACAATTTAAAAAAATAGATGGATAAATAGGAAAAGAAATTGCAAAGAACGAAAAGAAGAAAAGAAAGAAAAGCACAGGCCACGTGGGTAGGATTCCCGATTCTCGACGGAAGCTGAACGTTGGTCTGCAACGAAATCCGACCTTTCTCGTCCACGTGTCGAGCATCTTCTACTCGCGAGACGGCTCGAAGCGTAGCACGAGGAAATAAGAGAATCGCAGAGGATCACCGGTGTATTCGGGTCACGTAGCAGACGAACACTCGAAAATTCCATTTTCCACCTACACGTCGACGATATCGACGTTGAATGCACACCTACGAACGAGCCCTTAAGTCCGACAGCTCTTGCGGAGCATCGTCCATCCGCGAGCGGAAATAAAGCCGTCGCGTCGCGCGGATACGATGCCTGTCAATCGATATCGATTACCAATCATATCCTTTCTGCTTTTTTCTTTGAGGAACGAGATCCCTCGGAATACATGTAAGAAATGTCTAAGTAGATTCGGTTTCGTGGTACTTTTCTTTCGGTGAAAGTAAAAGTGAACGTCTCTCTACGCTTTCATCGATAATTTTGCATGTTTCTCTAATACGATCAACTTTTCAATCTTTTATCAAGTGAATAGTGAAACGAACATCCACCCTTTCTCTCTAATTTCGATCCCTTTAAATCCTAGATATTTGCAAATCAATAGAATTCTTCGTCGACAATTTTCCCTCGGATTCTGTTAAATCTCGTCGCTCAACCCTGAACCGGATACAATGAAGGCCAGGGTACTTGAGAAACTCGGTGGTCGCAGGGCCTGTCGAAGTCCACCCCCTTTCCTCGTTTCACAGCATCGTCACTCGCGGCGCGGACCATTGTTATTCTAGATTGCATTGCAAATTAGATCACGGACCACCCTTCTACCTTCCTCGTCCACGGTCTGTTCAAGTTGCAACACCGTTGCCCGGCCGGTTCTCCGAACAATTCTGCTCCGAGCTGTAAACCACCCTTCACCCCTTTCGAACTTGTATTTCCTGCACCGCCCTTGTAACAGGCATCTCGTGAAATTGTGTCGCGAGTCCGTGCACGGTTTTGCGAAAGAAGTAAATTGTTTCTTCCTCGAGGGTGAATTATCATGGTGAAACCCCGTGTTTGCTGTTTCGTGGATGATTATCGAATTAACCGAGAGCTTTCTTTTTTCGAGAATGTCGTGAGACGAGTTTGACGAGCAAGTTATACGAAATTCGATTGTCTTTTTCTTTATTAACTTTATCCTCTGTCAATAAATTAGATGAATTTTCTCTGTTTAATTTATTTGAAGTAATTCGAGGGTGAACCTTCGACCTTCTGATTTCTTCATAATTTCTTTAAAGAGAAACACCTGCCCAGTTATTTCTCTTGGAGAAATCGCGTAATCTCGAGCAAAGGAGATCGTTCGAGGTGGACGGATTTTAAGACTAAAGGATGACCATTCGGCTGGCGTGTTCGGTGGAAAATTTATCGACTAATTTCTATTTAGACACGGTCGCACACGTCTGCGGGTAAGTTGAACCTGTGAACAGATCGATAACGTCTGCGACGACGTCCTCGGAGGCAAACAATACGTCCTGTGTTCCGGAAGTCCGACGTCAGGGCCATAAGCACGTCGTAGCGCGAGACAAATCGAATCAGGGACATTCCCTCTCTATCCGTTCGTCTTTCCGTTTCTCTCGTTCCGTGTTTCCGACGCTGATGCTATCAGACCTTGTCGCGTCTGCTGGAAATAAATCTTTTGTGGAAGCGGCGAGAAGGACCGTCCGTCCGCCTTCTCTCCTCGAGATAGAAGAAGGACCGGCACGGCACGACGATGCACGGTGGTCGGTGCGCGTCGCGGAAAATAGGAGAAGAGGAAAGTCGCATGGAACCCCGGTTGAAAAGGTGGAACAAAAGGAAAAGGAAAAAGGAACGAAAAGGGGAGAAAAACGAAAGAGGAAACCGAGACTATGCTGAATAAAGAGGAGCGATGGGAAAGGTAGACATCGATGAGAACAACAGCCTCGAGTGATTGGGATACCTGTACTGTGACGATCATATTTTTCATCCCCCTCCCACGCGATTTTTATTATAATTGGAGACGGCGGTGATAAGCTTGCATTGAAAACGTATGGATTCAGAGCTATTATGTGCATCATGGAGGAGACTTAATTGAGCATCTCGAAAGACAAAGTGAATCGATTCGAAATGGAATGAATTGGGAATGAGAAATTAACAAGATCGATTCTATTTTACGCTGCTCTTTGTTCTTTCCTACTTTCGATAAACCTATCAATGTTCCATCTTTTATGGAACCTCTAAAAATCTAATAACAACAAACTGTAAGCATGTAATTTGAAAATTTGATGATCATATCCTTGATTAATATTTTAACGCGTCTGACTACAGATGTCATCCTCTACTGAGGCAATCGGGATCAATAACATAGCATCGATCAGGAATATCCAATTAAAATTTCATACCTTCCCTCCCTTAATTGTGGTTACTACTTTAATGATCAACCACGTATGCTACGTAAATTTATAAAACTACCTTTAATCCCAAATGTTAGTGCAAAGGAATAATTTGATGCGAAGATACTAAAACAGCAACATTACAGATTTTCACCGTCTGCCCTATGCAGAAATAAATCTTTCGGGGAAAACTAGTGAAAGACGGTACGAAGAAAAGCGAAGGAAGAAAAATCACAGGAACTCGATCGAGATGGAGCAACAATAGAGGAGGAAGGAAGAAAAGAAAACAAAGGAAAGGAACGTGGGCGCGAGAAACGCGGTCTGCTTTTCCAGACAGCGCGCAGCAACGGGTGCCGAGGAGAAAAACATGTGGGTTAGATAGACGCAGCTGCACTGCTACCATCCCGACCAAGATTAGATATCAGACAGCTTTTTTCCAGACAGCCTTCGACGTTCCACGAATCGCATAATAATCTCGTCGAAGGTCGACGACGTTGTCCGCAAGCACCTCCGTCAGATGGGAAATCGCGCTTCCTTTTCCCCCTATCGTCTGCAGCGAAAATGGTGATCGCTCGCGATATTCGAGAATCACCGGCGTGATACGCGATGAAATGCCAAGCTAGGAAAGCAGCGAATGCTTTCTAGTTAATGCGCCAGCTCGAACCGAAGTACGAAGGAAATGCCACGAAAACGCGACTCTGCATTTTCCAATTATCGCACTTGACTCGAGGGTGGAAATATATGTAGAAATTTCAACCCAAAATCTACTCTCATCCGCAATTTACATCTTAACATTTACCGAGAAATTATTCAATCGTACAACTCTGCAGCAAGCAATACTAATTAGCACCTTATCAACATGACTGACGCGTTTATTACCCTTCCCGCGGACGTGCTAATTTTGCAATGGAAATTGCAAATTTTTTTTCTGGATAACATCTGTATTTGCAATTCAGAAACCACCCGCTCACAATTTATACCTTAACGGGAGAAATTATTCAATTTCCTAACTTTGCAGCAAGCAAAGTTAATTAACACCTTATCAACGAAACTGATATGTTTATTACCCTTATGACGGGGGTAAAGAAATTTCTAATTGAAATTGCAAATTTTTCAGAGGATAAAATCTTAAACTTTGCGATCTGCAATTTTTCTATTTATAAACACGTACTGCGAATTAGCAAAGTAGCTAATTATCGCTTTATTAACGAGGTAGACAGCAAAATAAAATTTCTCACGATTACCAATTAGAAAATCGTTTTCTTCAATTTATGGTTTAAACCGTGAAATTATTCAACGCCTATTGCCAGTTGATTAATTACTGGCCGAAAGGGTTCTAATAATTAAAACGAATCACTCACCGGTGTGCCAGGATGACGATGGTGATCCTGCAAAAGGAGACGTCGTTGATGCGACGCTGGCAGCTCCTCTCGATGATGATGATGATGATGACGATGATGATGATGCCGATGGTGATGCAAGATCGAGGCGGTGGCCGGCTCGTGCAGTAGCAGCCGACGATGATGAAGATGATGCGATACCGTCGCCAGGACACCCACCAGTGCCCCGACTATCAGGACGAGCACCGCTGACACTATATAGCTAGTCGCGCTCACTGTCAACAAAAATTGAACGTCTCCTTTTAATATCATTTTCAAAATAACAATATTGTGATCTGTAATTTTACATTAAAAATGATTGTATTAAAATACCATCCAATCGAATGATTTCGAATACCTTTTCTCTACGAAAAATGAAATTATTAAAACGGTTCTCTTAACGTTTCAGAATCAACGGAGGTATGGAACGAGCGAGGAAGTTACGGTTGAAATACAATTTCGGGAAATTTCCAGGACGAGGCGGGGAGTTCGAGACGTCGGTGGTGCAACTATAAGAAATTTTCCGGGCTCGTACACTTTCAGGAGGGGAAGGGACGCGAAGGGCCCCGTCCCCGAGGAGGGAAACTCGTCCCGAAGTTGGTGCCTCAGGTCTTTTTCACGCATCACGTACGAAATTGACTGGAAACAGGAAGTTAGTCGATACGTTCGTGCATTGCCGCGCGAACGACGCCGGTGAAAAGCGGTCCCGCTGCGAGTCGAGCGCTCGCAGTTTGAATCCTTCTGAAGGGAATTCGTTCTCGTACTTTCAGCCACGTCGAACCGAGTTCTCTTTAGCGAGTATTCTCTTTCCCTTTCCGTCGTCGTAACGAGAACTTCTAAACTGATATCCTCGGAACTGAATAATCATACCTTGTGAATGTAAAGGGTTAATTTATCGAATCAACAAAAAATCATCCCCTTTTTACTCCTCGGATAGGCAAGAGAGGGCAAAAACAGGCGAGCATCGTCGCAGGCTTACAAGTTACCGTGTGGTCAAAGAGGTAAGAGAGTGTTTGTGTGTGCAGGAGGCAACGATTGGTGGGACAGGATGAGACACGACCATAAAACCTTATCAACGTTCATCATCGCCGGTTCAACGGTTTCAGCCGCTCGTCACCCAACGCTCGTTAAACGCTCTACGAGTCGCGACGGTGCACCCTGTGGCCCCGTTGGTCACGTCGAGACGCTAACAACGGCGACGAAAAAAACAGACAGGAAAGGGCGAAAAGAGGTCCCTGACCCTGGCTCGAGGTTTGTCGAAACGGTCGCGCACCAGTCGCTTCGTCGTGGACAAAGGACTCCGGCAACTCGAGAGCCGGCGAAATCTTTCGTCGCTTCGAAGAAGAAATTCACGGATAGATTTTTGGAAATGATATATATCCAATCGAAAGAAGAGTTATAGCTATTCAGAAGAAAATTAATAGTTCTCAAATGCTTCACTATCTAAACAATTAATTAATTCTATAAAAAGGAAAGTGATTGTGAACTTCTAAACGTCAATTTGTTCGAATCTTCTCGTTTCTAACGAGAAACTCCATCGATTCCCCGAAAATATTACTCGCGTATCTGCTCACGCACGTTTCGTTTAACGTTCATTCCACGTCAGACATCAACTTTATCGTTATTAACCGCCACACCCCGAATCTTGACGTGTTTGAACGTCGAAAGCGAATCCGTGGCTTTCGTTCGCCGCACGATTCCACGGGGAAGGTAAGGTCGTGTCCTGGACAAGTTTGGCTCCTGTGTCGTCCAAGCAAGCTGTATAGGTCGCTAAACATTTCTCGTGTCAATATTTGACAGAGCGGTTAGGATGTCTGGCGTCTCGGCGATACCCGAAAGGACGAAAAGTCCTTACACCTAACTTAAATGTCTCGACTCACCATTGAGGTCAAGTCGTCTGAATAAATGGAACTCGACGACGATGAAAATAATTTTACGTCCTTTTCATTACCATATAATAGTCTCGTTTTACTAACAGCAGAAAATTAGCAGAATCGTGTGGGATGGCAATTTCAGTTGAGGGAATCGGAGGGTTGAGCGTGCTCGATCCAGGAGTTTCGCTTCCGTGTGTTTCGAGGAGGAACGCTAGGCATCCCGGACGAGCGTGTGCGATCAAAGGCGAGCACGCTTTTTTTCCTAGCGGCCAGAGATTTCCCTGAAGAGGTTTTGAAAGACGGCCTTCGTGACTGCGCGCGAGCCAACTGTTGGTGTTGCCAGATCCTGTATGCCGGCCACGAGACTTCGAACAGAGAAGGGACGGACAAGGCTGTGTATACGGTATACAGGCCAGAATCGCGGCATATTATCCCGATCCCTCAGGCGGCTTCTCTCCTCTTCGCCTCTCTTTCTAGCCGTCCGCACACGAAACGGACTGTCAAGGTGCGTATTCACCGGCAAACATGTTCGCAACAAGTTCGCAAACATTTTATGACACTACTCTTTTCTACGACATCTACCTTGCACCCTTCGTTTCTTGCACTAAACTCAAATACTGACCAGAGTGGATCAGACAACTCCTCAAGGGACAATTAGCGCGCTATAACCTTCTGAGATAAGGGAAGAATTCGCATTGAAAGTTCGAATCCTATTGAATTTCAATTTGAAATTCAGTATAGCCTGGTGGTATTCGTCAGTAGAGACGCAGGTTCAGGTAGCACGGGCCATCTACCTCGGCTTCGAGGTTCTCTGACATGGCGACAGACTCGATCACGAGGCTGATCCTCTTCCACGAGGACGATTTATGTATCACCGCTCCGACTTGATTCAGTCGGAATAAAAATTGGACAGACGTTGGAGGGATTCTGTTTGAGAGAAGCGTTCGTTTCGTTGCTCTTTGTTCGGCCCGGCATGGAAGAAGGTTGAAGAGAGTTCGAAGGGCAAGATCGAATCAAGGGATTTCTAAAGTGGATTTTAATGGCCACGCAAGCGAGAATATTTGATCTTTTCTCTGCTTCAATCTGACAGCGTTCAAGCGGAAAAGGAAAACCGTGACATTGAAAAATCAGTGCTAAAATAAAGATGACAAGGAATTTTGAATTACAAGAATTCTCAGATGTTTCAATAAACTGAAAGCTTCCCAAATTCCGAATTATTCCATTTGAACGCGTACAATGACCCAGACATCGTTCCATCAGTACCGTGAGAAGTTACCTACCGGTTCAAAAAAAAAAAAAAAAAAAAAAAAAAGGAAAAAAAAACGTCGCCCATTGGTGCGAGCAATTCCGCGTTCGTTCACCGAGGCCGGTAAAAATTAGAGCGTCGCCTCGTTTCCAATCGATGCCGGGCGTCGCGAGCGAAAATCTATTCAAATTGGCCGTCGAGACCGATCGTATTGTCCGAACCGCAGCCTCCACCATCGCCAGAATGAATCAGCGTGCGTTCATCGTGGAATAAAAACAGGCAGAGGTAACGACAACCAAGTACCGTGGAGCGCGGAGAAACACTTTTTCCCTTTCCTTCTGACTCTCGCGTTGAACCAGGACGAAATCGGCGTGACAAGGCGCGTCCGCACGACAACGACGGCAGGTGCATCGAGAGACCGAGCGGTTGCATCTTTCGCGGGCTTCCTTCCCCCTTGCGCCACGCCGCTCCGACGATCATAAGCGAGCGGAGGAGAGCGTGTGCAACGAGTCGACGTCCTCCTCCACCTCCTCCTTCTGCTCGCGGCCACACGCTCGATGCTTCCATGCGAACTAGCCCTGCACACTCGCGTGTTGCGATGGGACCAAATTCAACGGATTTATACTCGAAAATCGAAGATCGATCAATCGATATTCGAAATGTTATCCAAATTTTTGTGCTTCAAATTGTTTGCACAAATATTGATTAAAAACTACGAAATTGGAAGAAAAAGAAAAGAGACTGATGAAATTATTGTTGTAATTCTAACGAAGTTGCGTTGAAAAATCTTGGATATTATAGAAAATTGACTGGAAGCTTCGAAATTCGAAAAATCTCAAGGCCCCGAGTCTTATATTTCGATATCGTTCTTGATCAGCTTACTCGAAGGTAGTCGTGTGTGCGTGCACTTAGTCCGGCGATGCAGTGGACGCGGTGCATTGTGGAGTAGCGACGGAGCAAAGGGGGGCGAGGGAGGAAAGAAAGCCGGAGGAGCAGGAGGTGCAGCGCATGCAGTGCACCAGACAAAAAACGATGAGCTGCAGTGGGGGCCAGACAGGGGGCAAAAACACGCGACGGGCCCCAAACCCAGGCCCCTCCTGCGCTGCAACCGACATGGAATCCCTGTGTGCCCGTGCATGTGTGTGTGTGTGTGTGGATGCACTTTAAGCCCGACGCATGGCCGCCAGCCACGTATGCATCGCGATAGAAGCCGACCCTCGGGGGTGTCAAATATTGTGGTCCGTCCTGAACAATTCGTCACGAGAAAAGAAGAATTTCGAAATACTTTTTAAAAAGAAATTGTAAATTTTAAGTAGATGTACCGTTCGAATAAAGAATGCATTTTTTAAAACTAACTCTGTCTTGCGTTCAAAATCATCGCCACAAACCATCGAATAAAAATGAAAAAATGAAAAAGGGAGTTCGTGACGTTATTCCCCAACTACAAATTTAAATCGAGCCAGAACGCGAAACGTGAACGATCGCGCGCGTGCAGGTTCGATCGACGAGCCGCGTCGCGACGCGTATTTGCAGTCTGGCCGCGCGACATTCGTCACGGTTGAAATGCAAAAATCGCGGAAGTTCTCGCCATTTATCGTCGTCGCGGCCATCGGGCCTGGTCGCGTGTATTTACGGATTACAACACCGGTTAATTGCCATATATTTTCTGTCTCCGTGCAACGGCACGGTGCGGCAAAAAGAGTATCAAAGGTCGCAACTGTCCGCGTGTCTCGATTACGACATCGTCGCGAGTGCTCGCGCGAGTTATCCACCTGCACGCCAATCGGAAATCCGGAACGGAGCGGCGACGATCGTTGCATAACACCGACGGAGATCACTTATCACTATTTTTGTATAAATAGCGTGTTTTCATAAATTAAAATAATTTTTTTAATTAAAACCCAGGAGCAGAGACTAAATTATAAAACTTATCAACGATCTAAATGCAATCTATCTGAAACCTTTCCTGATTAATTTCCGGCACAATCAAACGATCAATTAAAATACAAATGTTCAGGTTGCAAAGTACACGATATAGCTGTCTCCTTTGAAAATATAAAGGAATCGCATTCCTCTTCATAAATGAAGCCCGGTTAATTTGTATTTCACGGTAGCC